AAATTTTGCCAATCTAGGTATATTGGACCTGAAAGGCTTTTAAAATCATTTGTGTGCAAGATTGTATTAAAGATAAAAAAAAAGTCTTTATGTTGTAGCAGTGAAATGATAGGGAAATGAAACCTTTGCCTTACTTTATTACCATTTATCAGGAGCTTTAGGCACTTTGGGTTTTAATATTTATCATTTTGCTTCATTGCTTCATTACTCTGATCCTCACACTTATTTTTTTTTGTTCTGAAACTGATTTAGTTCTATGCTGAAGCCTGAAAGAGCGAGAAAAACATTTTTCTTCTCACCTTTAGCAATATGTAAGTTTCAAGTATATATGTATGTATACCTCAGTTTGAAACAACTTTCAGTAAGAATGTAGGAAATGTTCTTGTGACTTAAAGCACTGAATGTGGATACTCAAGTGGTTTCAATGGCATGATTTCTTACGTGCTCTCTTTGGATGGAAATTGGCCCTTCCTTTTTCCCAGAGTTTATACGTTGTTGTAAAGTCTGTAGATCTGCCAGGATTGTTATTTACAAACAGAAGAGTTCCCCCAGTTTGGATGAAAGACCCATCTGGTTTCATATCCTGTTCCTCATATGGCCAATCAGATCCCCATATTAATTTTCTAAGCCAAATATGAAACACTGGCCTGCTGCTGTTCTTCAACAGCTGGTAGATGCAGCTGAAAGTAGCATGAGCCCATCATGCCTAGTAATTTTTAATAATCCTTTTAATTTGACTCATTTCCTTCTAGTCCTCTAAGTTGTTAGCCATCACCACATGGTGGTTTATCCATTGTCTTTGCTAAATTTTTCACAATTCACCTTCTGTTATATGGAGTGAGTAAACAAAATATTTGATTAGCATCCTGTTCAGAACAGACAGAAAGAGGAATTTTTTCATGGAATGAGTTGTTGATGTAAAATTTGGTGCCACAAGATATTATTGGGCTTTATTGCATAAAATTATAAAGTTAGATGACCTTAAAAACAGGTTGGGACAGATTCACAGAAGCTTTGCTAGACCCCAAGTTTTATGCCTCTAAGTATTAACTGCTGTTGCTGTCATACAGTATCTTGTATCACTGATTTCTCAAGAGGTTTCTAGTTCATCCCAAATTAGTTTGCTTTTAAGGAAAAGGATAAAGTAGCACTCCCCCATGTACAATACTTACAGGTAATTTACTGAGAGGGGGGAGCAACTTTCAGTTTGCCTGAAAGCAACAGACTTGCTTAAACAACACAGAACAAACTGTGTGGCACACAGTCTTTCCAGATCTTACCACTGCTTTCTGCTTCCTTTTTCTCTCTTCCTAATGGTAGGACTGGACATGGGAAGAGAATTCAGGTCTACAGTGGTCTCATCCAACCAGGCTCATACTTCTTTTCCATGATTCATAGCTTAAATTAGTAATGTGATGTCCTCTGGATGTTTTAGATCTACTGCTCCATAATGCTGGCTCAGAAATATGAAAGTTGTAGTCCCAGCACATTTGGAAGGTGCCAGGTTGGGGAAAGCTAAATTCATTTTTCTATCAGTCCCAGCATCCGCTCTTCTCCAGTAATCCACTTGTAGCTATAAATTTGCTATTTAGTCATTGATGAGCCTGAGGTATAATGCTAAAATACAGTAAAATCATAAAAATGAAGTTCGTAAAGTTCACTATACTTGTAATCATTCCCTTCAGGGATTTTTTGGCAAATCAGGAAAGTGGGACATCCTGAAGATGGGAATGAACAACCTGTACATTAATCTCTGCATCTTTTACAAGCTTCCTTCAAATTTTAGTAGCATGATGGCCAAAAATCAGCAGTACAGTTGCCTTCCATTTTAAATCAGGATATAACCCATTTCTACCCATCCTTGGCACCCTCTAGATGCATGTACTTTAACTTCCAGAAGTCTCAGCAATGGCCATGTTGTGTGGGAAGTCCTGGGAGTGTAAATCCATACATTTGGAGCATGCTCAGTTGGGGAAGGCTGGCATAACTAGGCTTCATATAGTTTTTTTTTTTTTTTAAGGAAAACACCCACCCACCCAAAACCTGCACACATGCATGAAGCATTCCTGTCTTCATGTGTGACATAGCCCCATCTCTTTTACATCATCATCTTTGCAATCTTTGCTTCCCCAGAAAAACTATTAAAAATGTCCTGCTACTAAAAGGTTGTCCACTCCTAGCTTAAGATAAACAAGAAGCCGTTGGAAATTATAGCTTTGAAGCTGAGTTCCAAGTGTAAGGTTAATTACTAAAAGGCTACAGGCTAGGAAAGGAATAACTGTCAAGTTAGACAGATCTTTCTAAAAGATGGGGCATTTATCAGGTAGGCAGGACATGTGCAGTGCTTGAAGAGATAACACATCTCAGACAGCCTCCTGGGGTACAAAGCTGTTTCTGAAAGGTGACTCATCAGCCTGTCCTCATGGAAATCTCAGGCCATTTTTTGTGCTTAGATAGCTGAGGTATCAAAAAGTAATCAAGAAAGTGTTACTCAGGTTGCATTGCCCTTCAGAGATCCTTGGCAAAGATTAGCTCCTGCGCACACTTATCTATCATGCTGGGCTGGGCATGCACCAGAAATTCACTGAGATGGATCAGAGATATGCTGGAGCACATATTGGTAAATGCTGTATTTCGTGTTAAGTGCTGAGTTATAGCAAACACTTTTCAAAGGAAAAGTTTTATAAGGAGATACCTGCAGAAGATACCAGGTTTGATCCATAGTAGAAGTGGGAGCAGCAACTTGCCTGAAATCTTGGAGGAACATTGCCTTTCAGGGTAACAACGCTGGACTAGATTAACAGTGATCTGATTCAACATAGGGCAGATTCCAGTGTTCCTTCTGCAGGCAATAATAAATAGAGCAAGAATTCAAAATCCATTTTCCCCCCTCTTCTTCTCCCAATCCTTTTTTGTTTCCCTCTCTTCACTCCTTTCCACCCAAAGTTCTCTCCAGAGATTTAGACTGATCTCATGCAGTGGTTTGTTTGTTTGTTTGTTTTCTAAAATAAGGGTTGGACTGCCTGTGGCTCTAGTATTGCTTAAAGGTCAAATCTCTGAGTTGAATTTATCTCCTGGTGACTTTAGGGACACATTTGTGCTAAAGGTACTTTAAAAGCTACAGAACTGCATCCTTGTGAAATAGTAAGCTCACTCTGCAATTACTTTTGGCACAGACTTACAGAAAATTACTATCTTCCCCTCTTGAATTAATGTGTGAATTCATCAGTTTTGGTACTACTCTGGATATTATGATGCAATTCTTGATCATTTAAACATGTATAAACAGACATTTCAATATTCAGTTTGAAAGAAGACACAACTTGTTCTCTGCCCCACCCTCATGCATTTCATCTGCCAGTCAAGCCAAATGCACCCCATACTCAGTGTAGAGTGTCCAGTTTGACCTCACCAGCCACATGGTCTAAATGGATTCTCAATGTGTTGTCTATATGTGGAGCTTTTGAGGAACTTCTTGCACTCTGTGTAGCATCAAGGAGTTCTGTATGGAATGTGCTAGTTTGCTTCTTTCTCCCTCTCTTCTTCAGTCAGGTTGCCAACACAAGGCTATAATGGAGAGATGAAGGAGAGGATGTTGTGCATGTGTGTGGATGAGAGAAAGGGCATTATGGCTGCTAACCCACATGCTCCTGGAGACCTATTGCATTATTTCACAGAAGGCAGGAAACTCTCAACTTCAGTAGAAGCCTCTTAGCTCTTGCAAGATATTCTTTGTTTTTGACACTCACTACTAATCTCATTTCTACTGCTCTGTCCCAAAGCCATTGCTTAAGAAGTAGCCACAAATTGCCCTAAGCAACTATTTCCCCCTTCAAGCAATAAGAAAAGCACACAGTAAGTGCATTCCCAAGCAGTGGAAAAAAGAAAATCCCCTGTCAGGAGCAGGTATTCAGGGGCGTTATTTGCTTTTTACAATACATTGGCCTTGTTTCCATCTAGACTTGGGCAATGGGCAGGATGAGAGGTAGGGATTCTAGAACCAAAGTGGGGTCATTTCCTCATTGATAAAGTCTGACTCTACAACTAACCTTTGAGTAGATCTTACAGGATTGTCTTGAAAAAAAAATTTTTTTGAGAGGAATTTTCTTTAAAAAATGTACACAAATGTGGAGCTGGAGCTAAAAACATGAGAAACAGCCATTTATTGGAAATATAAGTTCTTCCATTCCCAGCTTGGCATAACTTCCTATTAATATAGTACATACAGCTATAATTTAGTGCATTATATAACACTGATCTTTTAAATCAGTAGAAATGTTTAAAGGTTCTTCATTGTGTTATGTGTAGAAACATGGTTTTGTATGGGTGACATTTATTTTGTTACAGATATTGAATCTGATTTTTTCTTCTAAAACTATTGCTTGCTCTATTGAGTTAAAAAAATCAGTAAAATGGATGTGTGGGAGCTGGACATGAAATTTTAAAATTACCCTGTAATCTTCAATCTTAGGTTTACAAATGCAAGTTCATTATAATTTTATAAAGCCCAGAAATAATAAATTTTCACTCTTTGTTTCAAGAGGTGTCATATCTTGCTGGAAAAGACAAAAGTGTTTCTACCCTTTGAGTACTAAATTGCTGGGTACCAGAATCTCTTTGATCAGAGAAATGGATTTGCCCAAAAGGGGGTTTCCTACAAAATTCAAACTAGGGCTTGGTATAATTTCAATGAAAATCAGAGTCTTAGTCTTTTGTGCTCCTCCTTCCTCTGTCCTACATGATACTTCCTTCTGGTGTGCAGCAAAGAGTTTATTCTGTCTGACATTTGAATTAGGCAACTGAAGTATGAAGTATCTTGAAGTGACTGTGCAAGTTCAGAGATGAGTTTTCCCAAAAGAAACAGATTGGTTTTCTGGAATATATCTTTAAGAAGTGATATATGAGCAACAGGTTCTCTTGTGCTCTGGGCCTCATCCAACAACAATCTTCTTCAGTTCTTAAAGAGGTACAATACATTTGCCTTCTTGTTTATAATACAGGAAGAATATTCTTCGATTCTTGGATGCCGAAAGAGACATCTCAGTCGTCAAAAGCAGTTTCAAGCCTGGAGATGTAATCCACTATGTGTTAGACAGACGCCGTACACTAAATATTTCTCAGGATTTGCATAGCCTGCTTCCTGAAGTTTCTCCGATGAAGAATCGTCGATTTAAGACATGTGCTGTTGTAGGAAATTCTGGCATCCTCCTCGATAGTGGGTGTGGAAAAGAGATTGACAACCATGAGTTTGTTATAAGGTGAGTATTTATCTTTTGCTTGACAGATTGCCTATTACTTCAGCAGTAATGAACAGAAATGCTTTACCTTGGAATGATGGCTCAGAATTTCTGGATGATATCTTTCACTGTATGATGCCCAAAGTTAAATATATTTCAGTATGAAAAGAACAGGGCTGTCTATATATTATGAATGAGAAACTGTTGGAGACTGCAGAGATATTGGTAATGCTGTTTGTAGGATCTGCCTTTGCTCCTTATGCAAGCAAAATAATTATTTCAATAGAGAACTGACTCCACAAAAAGAAAATGTTTTCAGTTTCTCCCTCTTGCCAATCATCATAGTAGAAAATTACCACATTTATTTATTATACATACACTGTATGGGGTTAAGTTTACATGAAATGCACTGGGGATTAGCCAGATAGTTCCTGTTAAGGGAATTGGAAATCACACATCTAAATTCTTCTATACTGTACTGTACTGAAAATGCATATTGACTGCATGTGCAAATATGTTCATATATTTTGTTTTAATAATTAGTTTCTCCAAAATAAAATATTATACATTATCAAAAGTCAGCAAGAAATTAAAATGCACGTAAAACAAATTTAATTAAAAAATACAAGGCACTGGGAACTAAAGGAGCCAATAAAATCAATTAGGTATAATTTATGCTCATTGTATTTTTCTAAATACTAATAGTTTGCTAGGCCTATACATATCAAATTATAGAAGGGGAACAATCCAGTGAAAATTAAGTAATTTTAAGCTTCATATTTCCATAAACTTTGCAGATCCTGCCCCCCACCCTAAATTATATAATTAAATTTACTGACGGATTAATAATCTTTGATGGTGCAATTCTTTATATTTTGGAGGGGAGGGGTAAAATAATTGTGTTTAAGTTTCCACAAATATTGCACTTATTTTATAAGTTCCCCCCCAAATATAAATAAAGATAGCATCTTCTCCATCATCATCATCATCATAGCATTGGCTTCTTGCCGTCCTTAGAAAGAATCTGAGGTGTTGGGGAGTGAAGGGTGGCTGCCAAATGTGAGAGCTCCTTGTTTCCTTGTGATTTTTTTTCAGTAGGAATTGTTCAACATCACTGCTGAAATTTATGTGACTAAGTCAGTTTTCCTAAATATACAGTATATACATGTCATTGTTCAGTAGGTTTACATCTGGGTTAACATATTTAAAATGGTTCAGCATAGCTTCAGTCCTCTGTACTTGGAGTTCTAAAAATAAGTATAGTTTAAAAGCTGTGTAAGTTACTGCTGTTCAAGCAGTTATCTTTTCAAATTAAAAGTTGTTATTCATTTAAGAGGAAGTACAGTGGAACCTCGGGTTATGAACGCTTCTGTTAACGAACTTTTTGGGTTACGACCAGCTCCGGCTGCAAAATTTTGCTTCAGTTTGCGAACTCCGCCTCGGGGTA